AAACCTTATTGTTTTATGCGACTTTGCTTTAATTTAATGAAAATTATATATATATTTATAATAGGTCTTTATAGCTATATAGCTCAATCGGCAGAGTGTATCGGACCTGTAGAAGTCTCATGAAACAGACATTTGCGCGCGTCTGGCATATCAACATGTGGTCTCCTGTCTTGTTTGACCATTTATCAGTTTATGTACCAGATGCATGTGCATGAAATGTGCTTATACAAGACACGAAAGAAATGCCTCATAAAATTGTGTTCTCATTGGTAAACATAGAAAATCTACTTTTTTGATATCTTTGGTAAAGAACTGAAGTGAAGGAATAGAATTTTAATTTCATTGTTGAAAACTTGACATGTAATGTATGCACGAAGGAAGAGACGAGTCGTCAGAATTTACGTTTCTAAGCCTTCATAACTGAACAGTTCTGTACCATAATATTTTAACTTTGTTGTCATCCAACAGGCCTCACAAGCAAATTGTCTTACCTCAAAGATCTTGGAGTGAAGACGCTGTACATAAGTTCTTTCTACAAGTCTGGAAAAGAGGACAATGGCATGGATGTGGTTGACCATAAAGACATTGACGAAATCTACGGCACTCTCGATCAATTCAAGGCCCTCCGTAAAGAAACTAAAAATGAGAGTATGTGTAATTACTATCCTCGTCACTTTTTTAGCGTGAATAAATTAAATTCATTTTATCACATGGCAGCTACATTAATGCACTTACCATAATTTTGCTCAAGGTTTTTCTCCACCAACAAAACCTGGCATATATGCTTTATCATTATTTTAAGTACCTCAATTTTACAACAGCCTTATGAATTGGGAAATATAACATTACTGAATTGAAATTAGGAATATATTCCTCAGTTTTTGGTCACACTTTCAGCTTGTGGAAAAAAAGCTGAGCAAAAAGAAATCACTGAAGATACAAAACCACAAACTAAAACAAACTAGGAAGTTTGGGGTTAGCCACATAAACCGGGTTTAAATCCTACCGTTGGAATTTGAGAAGCTCAAAAGACCAAATTAAGTAGTTTTCTTCATTTTGGAAAAATAAGGCACTTGTTGACTGGAGAAAACTGTCTTAAAAAAATCAATAAACCATTTCATGAAATAAGTTTCATATCAACATTATTTCATAAATTTACTGCTTTGTCTTATTTCAGTGCGCATCATCTTGGACTTCATTCCTAACCATACAAGCAAGAACCATACCTGGTTCCAGATGAGCAGGAAAAATGATCCGGATTACAAAGACTACTATGTCTGGATGCCATGTACACAGACTGACATGCCTAACAACTGGGTAAGAGCAGACAATCATAGTCGTATTGTTTTGGTTTAGTTTTGTAAGGCTCTTTTGGCCGAAAAACCCCAACATAGGACTGTTTGTTCTGACCTTAACACATACTTTACAAAAATACTTTGAGTTGAGCTAGTGATGTTTTCTGTTAAAAAATGATTCATTTTATTGAAAACATTTGAGAACATTGACTGCAATGATGACAATAATGTTTTACAAGAACAACAAATAATGTGATGCCAAGACAACTATTGTTTTGAAATAGATGTTGTAGTTTATATATATTTGTTCTTCAAGAGCTGAAATTTTCCTGTGAAAATGGTAGCAATTAGATCAACAAAACAGCAGCTTAAAGGAAAAAAGCATCTTAGTATTAGGTTGCACAATGATTTCAAAAGTAGTCCTAATTTGACTTTACCTATTTTTGTACATAAAATTAAATTCACAATGAAGTGCATGAAAAGTCTTGAATAATTGTCTGTTAAAACAATGCAATATCTAAAATGTTTGTGTTGCAGATGAGTGTTAATGGTGGATCTGCATGGGAGTATGATTCGGAGCGCAGCGAGTGCTACCTGCATACATACCTGAAGGAAGAGCCAGACCTCAACCTTGCACACCCAGTTGTGCTGAAGGAAATGGATGTAAGTATAGTGGCAAAGCTACACCTACCCTCAGTAATAATAGAGGAAATACACTTCGACCTATTCCCCATCCTGTTTTATTTTTGCCTTCTTCAATGACCATGATCAAGCAGTTTTATTTAACACAGAATTGATGAAAATGTAAGATTGTTATCCAAGGCTATGAAAGTGTCTACCTGCGTCAGATATTCACCTGCAGGCGTTGAATGATATCAGTGTACACTGTACACACTTCTTTACCCTGGGAGGGTAAAAGCTTCTTGTTACAACAATCTAATTTATGGATCTTTTCATTTACTGATATGGATATTGCTGGATATTCCATGTAGCATATCAATAAATGTGAGTGATTCAAAGATCTAATTTGATCACATTGTTGTGATGAAGAAACTTGCATGTGCAGATGAGGTGTTGGTAACTCGTACCTAGAACTGATGGTCAGATAGCAAAATTTTCCTAGAATCACAATTTTTTGTGGATAGTGATTTTTAATACTTTGATGTGTCAAAAATGAAAGATAATGAATCGTTTGTTTTATTCCACGGAATATGTAGGACAGAAGTTATTGTGAATTGTTTGATGATTTCAGTCAATTATGCGGTTTTGGTTCGACTTGGGAGTGGATGGATTCAATATCATTGGAGCAGAGTACTTGGAATCAAATGGAAGCGATGCTAATGCAGATGTAAGCTTATATTATAACTAGTTTATATTATCAAATTTGTTAATGAATTAATGATGTGCTTATTTTTTGTGTGTGTATGTTTTGTTGTGATATTTTACTTTTATAAAAATAATGGAAAGATGGTGATAATGTTTGTCACAGGTCGATCAATATCAGTATACATAATAAAACAAGGCAGATGCCACCAATTTTTGAAGTGTGACCCTAGATGAATTTCCAACTTTTGCATGCGATAAAGGACTCGGATGAATTATCAGTTAGTTGCTATGAACAAAGTCACAGATTTTGCACATGAAACCTTTTGCCTTTTGTCTGTCTCTTGCAAATCACTATAATTTGTTTAAACACTTAAACTTACCAGTTGTAATCTGCGTCAAGACTATTCATTTTAATGCCACACTATTAGTGACAATGACTATTCATCTAGTGAAAATGTCACTCTAATCTATGAAATGAAGATCAGGTATCAGCCTAGCGATTGGTCAGTTTTTTAACCAAAGATTAAATTAAATAATTAGCAGTGTGTCTTTAATTTTGCTATTGATATTAATGTTACCCCTGGGAAATTGAGGATGGTAAGATAAGGTGCTTTTAAGATGGAGATTTTGGTCTGTTTTTGGTGCTTTAAAAATTGAGTCCATTTTTCTTGATTCTTTTTCAGACTCTCCCTCGTAACCTGCCAGAATCCATCTCTCTCATCAGTAGGTGGAGGTCAATTGCCGAAAGTTATGCAACTAAACCAGGAAAAGAAAAGTAAGTCAAGAGTAGAATCTTTGGGTGTCTTAACCCTTATTGTGCTGCATTACTTTTCATAGTAAGCAATGCTCCTACTGAATTAATTGAGTAGATATTTTTTTAAATTATTTCAATTTTAAAAATTACTTAATTGGCATTTCTGTAGCTCACACCTATTCAAAACCTACATGTTTTAGGAACCTTGTATTAAGACCTATCTTATTAACCTTGGACATTTTTTAAAAGTTCCTATAATTACCTGTACAGGTGAGAGACAGGCGAAGTATTTGATAATTAATAGAATTTCTTTGTTATTCCCTTTAATT